GTACTATTATAGCATTTTTAATCAAGTACTTGCTTTTAAAAATACTTAAAGTATTAAAAGTAAAAGATTTCTTTCAAACTAAAAAAATATGTGAATGTAACTTGTAATGCAACACACCACAGAAATGTAGTGCAGTAAAAGTCTAAAAGTACCCATGATTAAGTAAAGTACAGAWACATGAAAAATGTACTTAAGTGCTTTGTTACATCCCACCACTACTTTTAGCTTTTTGCTAACCCTTTAGCTYGTAACAGGGGTAGATCTAGGATTTCTCTGAGTAAGGGGGATACAATATAGAGGGGGCAAGTATTTTTTCAATATCCTTACATACAAATACCCTGTTTTGGCACAGCATAAACATTTAACCAATCACGTTTAAACACTTCAGTGTAATAAAAAAACTAAATTAAACTCTCCATACTGAAGTTCACATGCATTTTTATTATACATACAAAAAAATCTGTTTTGGAAGTTACAAACATGTGAGAAAAATCAATTTTATCAGTTGAAAGACTTSATTCATGRTGAACTTTGACTCATTAGRGCCACTAGTGTATAGACATGGAACTGCACCCAGCATCATCGCTCTGCAGAAGGCAGGTGAGGGACAGGACAGGGGGCACTTCAGGGGGCCAATCAGATTTCAGCTGGGGYCAYTACCGTTGATCTGTATTASTGGACTGGACYTCATGTACATTTCGTAAGCTTCCTAAGTGGCAGAGGGGCCGACCGCATTTCTTTTATGACCAGCTGTAAGAATTTGTCTTCAGTCACTTCAGTGCCAACCGAGAACCAGGAAATAAACAAAACAAAGAAATTAAGAGTTAAATGCAAGAAAAAAAGCCATACAATTTCCCACAGCTGAACCAAAATAACGACCGTTTGTCCTCAATTTTTATATACATATTTTTCTTATTTTTAAACATTTATAATAAAGTGGAGCTTGTAATTCCATTCTTCAGTTTCCTATTTTAAAAGCAATCGTTTCYGATTTCAACTGAAAGTCTAAACTATAATTGAATCTCAATGACATACACCTGTCATTTAATTTTAAGTGGTGAAAAGGGGCTTGTACAGTAAATACATCAGCAAATACCTMTAATGAAAAGTTTGCACACTGGTTATAGATTTCTCTTTTGTAAGAATACATATTTTTTACATACCAAAACATAAGCAATTTTCTCAGCTTTAATTTAAGCCATATTGTACAGAAACTGGATAATAAATAAGAGTGCAATAAATATATTTGAGACAATTATGCACATCCTGCATATGGTTTTGTTGATGTGACTCAATGCATAGTAATGGCGCCTATCAAGGGGCGGGGCCACAGGTTGAACCACCTCTGGCTACTAAGTTATTCAGTTGTAAATGCAATTTGAGTGTTTCATTAAAACTAATCAACTGCCTCAGAAGATACTTTTATAATGTGACAGACAGAATATGGCTCACAAGTGATCCAAAACTCTATTTTTAAAATAATTTAAAATGCTACTGTAAGTGTAAAATCTTAGCCCTGTCACTGGTATGTTTTAAATAAGATGCCCAGAAGGTCACAGCTTAAATAATACACACATCAAACTGGGAAAACATTTGTTTATGYCTTATRTTGTYGTCGTAAAAGGTAAATTTGTAGATAAATCATTAGATCAAGGGTATTTAATCGTGGACGGTCCCCCTGCAGCTCAATTAAGGCCTCTGCACAACCAAAACGTCTCAGTAAAACCCTTTTTATGTACCAAGCACCCCTTCCATCTTTATGTTTACAAAGTGAAATATCGACCCTCGAAACAACACATAATGGCTTTGCAAGAATTGCTGAAAAATCTTTTTTGCCATATTGATTGGTGTAATGAAGATGAATGCTGAATCACTCACTTTGAAAATGCCTCATGCTTTTGCCACCTGCATTTTTCAGACCTTTTGTCATAGCGGAGAAAAAAAAACAAACAAAAGAAAAGCCTTTCTGCTTCACATGCATGGATTACCATGTGTTTTCATTCACAGCCATTAGKGCTCTGCTTGTAATTATGCAAATGAGAGCGAGCAGGAAATTTAATCAAACCGCAAATTTGATTTTATATGAAAAAAATGGAGGGCGGGAGTTTGATCGTGCAATGTTGAACAAAATTAGACTTTTTGTTCCCCCTCGACTCGGACACAACACGGCTTTTTAGGTTTTGAGTTTGTGGTTTGAAAGCTTGAAGTCGACGCCGCTGCAGAAGATTTGATTATCCTTTGTTCTCCCCAAAGATGCTGAATGGAAACTGTAGTTAATAGGAAGCATTTCCATATCAGCTGCAAAACAGCAGCTTGGGATTTTTTGTTTTTGCATTTTTATTGTTGTTGCACCTTCTGAACCWAAATATCGGAGCACTCGGTGCTCTTTTAGACAGTTGAACACCAAAAAAATGGGTTCTTTTAATTGCACATAAACTCAGACGAAGCTGTTGTGTTGCATGCGCCTCGCAAATAACTGGGGATTACACTCTTATCTTTAGAAGTGAGCGAAACATTTCAGTCGCCGAGGAAGGGCGGTCTTTTAAATGAAGCTGAGGGGTAAATAAAAAGTCACTCCATTAAAGACGAGCTTGGTTTATTAAGCTTGCGACCTACTGTTTAAGTTATGACTCATGTGGAGGGGGATACGATAATTAAAATCAAAGCATCATCTTATTTTTTAATGGTCTTTGTGTTARGTTTAAGAGGACATTTAATTTATTTTGGTCTTTAATTCGGGGTCATCTTGATTCCAAACATTTACATTCTAACTTGACCTTGAAGTGCTGAAAATAAAAACTTTAAGATATTTTCTGCAGCAAAACCATGTGCAACCATAAAGTTTAGTTTTTACCACAAACTACTGAATACAGTTTGTGAAAAATATGGTCACACATGTAGCAAGTGGTTAGACTTCTGTTGTCTGGAATTTGCTTAGAAATAAAATTTATGTTCATTTTATTTAAGTTATTAAAAGGGGACTATCACGCAAAATCTATTTTTGGCTGTTAAATACACTGCTCAAAAAAATAAAGGGAACACTTAAAAAACGCACGCTAAGTCCAAGTGAATCAAACTTTTGTGAAGCACATTCAACTCTGTACAGAACAAAAAGTACTCAGTGCGAATATTTCATTGATTAAGATRGGGACTTAACGTGCGTTGTTTAAGTGTTCCCTTTATTTTTTTGAGCAGTAGTGTTCCCTTTATTTTTTTGAGCAGTGTACATTTTGTTGTGTTCTCTAGGAGGCATAAAATTAGAATTTAGTTTCTCCTCGTGCTGCAAAGATGACTTTGTATTCCATTTGAGTCAGATTTTTCAACCCGTTCAGTTTTCTCTATTTTTTGTGACATTTTCAGAACTATTACGTCAAATTATCTGATGAAATTATCAGGTCTGGACTTACCAACTACAATTTCCTCATCTTAATTCTCCTCTGGTTCCGGGTCGGACTCTGGCTCCAACAAGGCTGGATGGACAAGTCTTCTGTTGCTGACATCTTTCAGTTTAATTGRAAATAAAACGTTTCTGCATCGCTACAAAACTTAACCTTCTTCTCAAACTGGAGTGGACTGGTCTGGAAGCAAGAGGGGGCGGGGCTTCAAGCATCCAAAGCAAACAGCAACACAACCAGCTGCTTTGAGATGTCAGAAAATTGATCAAATTGGGGCTGGTAAACCTAGAATAAGGAGGAATTTAAACCGAAGCATTGGTTTTATAAAAACCCAACTGAAGGATTTAATTGTGATAAAGGATTCAAAGGAAAGCATTATTTGTAGTTCTATATGGCCACAATTTTTCCTCGCAGAGCAGACCCTCCACTTATTGGTTCTTAGGGTCAAAATTAACAGGAAATCAAAAATCAAATAAAAAGTATGGCAGACCACGTCAGGTTCAACCCATTTTTGAGACTTCCCTCAAATAAATCAAGACTGGAAATATAAAAATTCATAATTTCAGTAAAAACAAAAGTCTCCTCCCCCTCATATCAGTGGTTTTGTACAGAGCCAGGGAGTTGACAGYTTTTCCTTTGCATTCCCACACAAAAGTTGCAAATCTTTAATGTTTTGTATCAACTATATTGAATGAGACTTATTTTAAAATCATCTGGTTACAGAAACAAGCTGTGTCTGCACAAGTTTTAGATATGAAGATAGGAGATGGAGATAGCGAATGTCTAATGTAAAGCACTTTAGGGGCACTACAAAATTGTTATCAAAGTTCAGTCCATTTACCATAGTGTTAAAATATCTGCATATTACATACAACTTCATGCGTGGCTGCAATATGTTCATTCTGAAGACAAATTAAATAAGGCTATAATAGTAAGCATGTAAATTTGTTAAACTGACATTCAAAACAGTAATAAAAAGGACTTCTGCGAGGGAACGCAAAAGAAACGCCGCACCCATGACCACTCATGGGTACCGTAGTGGTCCTTAAATTAAAAAAAAAAAAAGAAATACAATGTGAGTGAAAGATTATGTCCACATTTCAGATTTAACAGGTTAGCTTTATTAGAGTTAAAAATGCTAACTTACCAGTTTAACAGTTGTATGTTGAAATGCTGAGCTCTGTTTTTATACATTAATGCTTGTATTCCACCATATATGTTTAACTGCACAGATTCCAGTTGGCCTAACAGGTCAGTCACTTGACCCAAGCCTCTACAAGGATTTCAGTAGATTCTGCTGCTTTGTTCTCGTCTAAACTCACATTCCAAAACTGCATATCAAAATATCTGGAAAATTGGAGTGAACTTCACGTTGCACCATTTAATCTGGCTCAGAATAACCTTTTGATTTCCATCCTTTGCAATAATGAACCTTTAAAGTGGTGCTCTGTAACAAGGATTTTTCACAACACCTCTTCTGCAAACCTGCACTTTTCCTCAGGTTCAATTTCTCTGTCCATTAAACCTAATTGCTTACACCAGGGTATCCTGCTGAAATTTTAAATGTATGTCACCAAGTTATAACCCAAATGTGCAGAGAGTAATATCGAACTCTCGAGTGCAAGGTAATGCATTTTACAGAGCAGTGCATGTCTTAGCAAAACTTCCAAAAACCTTCAGGATTTGACGTTTAATGGAGGATAAATCAGTACAAACTAGGAAATTGTTAAATTCGACCCTTCAGGTTTAACCAGATGTATATATTAGAGACAAGGTACCCACAAGTTTCCTGTATACCGCATTATACATTAGACAACTTCCCAAAAACGTAAGCAGTTAAAGTTAAACCAGAGACACTCGTTTATTTCCCATGTGCATATAAGATTCATGAGACTACATGCAAGACCATTGCTTTGACTTTAAATTTAACCAGCTTTAATCTTTATTAGTAGTTTGACGGGATAATTACATCTCCATAAATGCAGTCTTTCTCCAAGGCAAGATTATACAGACTCCCCTGTCCTGCGTTGTAAGCACTTGTCACAATCCTGAGCCAACCTCTTTCACCCTACAAAAACATACATACGTCTTCATTTCTTAAATGTCAGGTTAATAACATTTGGAAGAAACCTAAATATTTAGGCACCATGACTTACCCACGGCTGCCCCCAGGAGTTGCGCACAATCCAGTATTCAGTTCCGTTTTCTACTCCCCAGCCTGCGACTGACACAATGTGGTTAATGAAGGGAGCCTCGACGTACTCCGAGTATAAACCTCCTGTGTATTCATGAAGTTTCTTAGTAGACATGATCCCACAGCTGAAAAAAGACAAATACTTCAAATTTAAAAATCCTGCAAAGACATCTTTTAATTTTCATTTAAAGGGATCCACGATTGGCTTTAACATTAGACTTTATTTGATAAACATTTATTTTAACTGTAAAATAAAGATTGTAAAAATACTGTAGGCTGTTTAGTTTTGTAAATATTTAAAAATATATTTTAACATGGGCGGAGCCATTTTATTTACATGCAAAGCATTCTGGGTAAATGTGGATAGGTCATTGGTGTGAGTGAGCTATATCCACCCAGAAGGTTAATCTTGGACAATATCTGACAATCGACTCTTAAATGAAACCAGAGAGCGTTGATAGAGAGGAGAAGATAGAAATGATTTAGCCTGTAACTGAAAATGTGGATGGAGGACAACAGAGCTGCTTCATGGAAGAAGAACTTCAGCTTAGCCTGTTAACCTTCACGCTAGCGCTGAGGCTATATTGCCTCAGCGCTAGCGCCACAAACAAGCTAAACTGAGGTCCTCCATCTATATTTTCAGTTGTAGACTGAAGTCATTTTTGCGTTCCCCTCTCTGTCATGTGGATGGAGGACCTCAGTTTAGCTTGTTTGTCGCGTTAGCGCTGAGCTAATACATATAAGGCAATATAGCGTCAGCACTAGCGCCATGGCTAACGGGCTAATCTGAGGTTCTTCTTCCATGAAGCAGCTCTGTTGTCCTCCATCCACATGAC